CTTTTCCCGGTTCATTTGGGAGTCTTCCCATTGGTCAGAACCGACCAGACGGGGTGTGTTTTGTGACGTAAGAGGTTAGAAGACAGCAAGAATTGTTATGGAACAGATCAGAAATGTTCTCAGAGACATAGAGAGTTTTGTTTTGGCGAGTTTTAGAAACAGGTGCCAACTCCTTCTGTTTACGTCTGAGAGGATGTAAACAAGACAGTTGTTCCAACACATGTCTGCTTCGACTCCTGACCCTGAAAAACGCACACTTGCTCATTCAAAGACAGAAATCAGAAAATGCATAATTACTCTGTAACAGCTTTAACATGAATTCTAACTTTGCATGAGAATTAAAAAATCATTACACTGTTTCAGTTAATAAAATCGATTAGTTCACTGCAACATCTAAAATGGTTTGAACTAAGACACTTTGATTATCAACATTTCTAAAATAGTAATGATAATAGAAAAGAGAGTGTTCTTCCACTTGAATTTTCAAGAAAGAAAGTCTCAGGATGGGTGAACCTGTATTTCTGGATTCAAATCAATGAAATGACAGTTCCTGTCCCACAAGGTTTTAAGGTCAAGAGTTTTGACCTTAGGCTTAGTCTTGACATCAGGTTAAGTTCACTACAGTTGTCAGCAGCAAAACTGGTTGATCCACTCTGAGACGGTGCTATTTAAGAGACTGAGCTGAATACAGCTCCTCAGACTGAGGAAGTCTCTCGGATGAGAGACGAAACGTTTCTACATTTTTTTGTTGATTTGCTTTGTTTTGTGTTTTTTTTTTGAATGTCCAGAGGACCAGATTTAACTTTTTTAGATCTATTAGCTGTGCTGTGCCTTATGAGAGGTGACGTGAATAAAACAGTGTCTTATCATATCACTAAAGACACTGTCCTTAGCGGCTAACAAGACGGCTGTTAGCCGCTAAGGACAGTGTCTTTAGTGATATGATAAGACGCTGTTTTGTTAATGTGGCGCTACCTCCTCTCACTGCAAGACTTGAAAGTCTGTGGACAGTAGTTCTTTTTCTGCCCATCTGTGCAGCCAACTTCATGCAGCCCCTCCTCCTCCCTCACAAGCAGGCTCTCATTGCTGCAATTCACACACTCTTACTTATGCCCCTTTTGCACTTCTCCTACTGAGCCCCCAACTCTACTCAGCCCTCCACGGAAAAATCGCTATTCCACAGCACTTTTTAGCTGATTCGAGGCTGATTCGGGACCTTGTTTGGTCCCTGCTTCTCTGCTGCAGTGTTGCCAGATGAGAAATGTAGGATTATCGTACTAGAGACATAAGATTATCGTATTTTGAGGGAAATTATTGTACACCCGTCATAACCAAAATAATAAATCTATTAATGCACTATAGTAGTGATGGGTCCGCTTCCAGACCGGCTCTGCTGCTTCTTCTTTTCTTGTTTTCTTTTCCTCACTCATGGGGCGCAGCAGACTATTCATCCAATCATGGCCGTTGTTCTGAGGCAAACACGTCACTCGTAGGTCACATTTAGAAAAGCACGATTGACTGGAATTTCCAGCCAATCGTGCATCTGTTTGCAGACAGATGCCTTCAGGGTTCACAAAAAAACTCCGACAGACAGTTGCGGCAGGCTGATGACAACCGATTACAACCACACATTCACGGAATGATCAAATGATTGTATATTTGACCTTTTTTGGGGCTTATTGATCGTACAGAGGGCAAAATTGTCGTACAAATACGATAATTATCGTACACCTGGCAACACTGCTCTGCTGGGACCGTGTGAGCTGGGTCGGGACCGAAACATGAATGCAGGACTCTGATTGGTCAGGGGGAGGAGTCACTGGATCTCAGAAAGTTTTCAGCGATCCCCTATTTGCAATTTTTCGGAACGCAGAGCAGCGGCTTGGTCTACTTTTAACAATTTAAAAACAATAATGACAACACGTGTTTAATGCTGAGGTCCAGGTGTTTTTTGTGTTTGGTGACCGAATACAAATTCGAGCTAGCGCAGTCACCACGGAGGATCATACGAGCTGCCGACCTGTTGAAGCACACGAGGCCGGACTCCGAGCCCCGATCTCGTGTGCTCACAAAGGCCGGATTCCGAGCCCTGGCAGACGGCAGGACCGGGAGTCCAGGACGGAGGGTGGAAACTTTAAAAAATATATATTTTATATATAAAAGATAATGTTGTTTTTTTTATCAGTGAAGATTAAAAATAAATAAACGGTGCCGGCTTTATCATGAAATCCTGTTTTCACTTTGACTTTATTAAATAATCAGTTAATTAAATGTAACTCAGCTGAAAAATCATAAAAAGACAAAATTACTGGATCTCTCAGGAATAATTCCCTCAAACATGTTTAAAGAAGAGACACAGCCTTTAGTTCAACTTTAGTCTAACCCACAGATGAACAAATCTCAAAACAAGAATTACACTTTAAATCACTGTTTGATTGTTCCCGTCTCTTCAAATGAGGATTGCCAACTTTTTCTTTCTTATTTTATAGACAAAGTCAATAAGGTGAGAAATAACAATGATCACTGATCATCACTTAAATCACTAAAATAAAATCTGTATACAAGAAACAAAACCACATATCAAAAATGAGTGCAAATGCATCAAATGATGAAGAAAAATGTGGAATTTTAAATATAAATGTTTTTGTAGGATCTGGTTCATCAGATTTAATTCAGTTTATTTCTATAGCACCAAGTTACAACAGAAGTCGTCTCAGGGCACTGAACAGAAATATTCATATATAAAATAAATGAACAGAAACGTTCATATTTAAAAATAATAATTTAACATTAGTTATCTGAGGAGCAGACTGCTTTGACTTTAACTCAGAACTCTCACTCGGTGAACTAAAGTTCATTAAAAGTTCATTAGCAGGATTTTGGATTCTGGACACGCCTCCAGAACTGGTCCTGAAGTGGGGTGCAAACCAGGATGATCTGAGCAGAGTTGGGGCTGAGTAGGAGCAGAGCAAAAGTGGCATTATAGTCTGAAAAGCTGTCAAACGTCTCGGTCCTCCTCGGTCCTCCTCATGCTCCCTTGTGTCTTCCTGTGTTTTCCACTCCTCAATTTTATTTGAAGTTGTTGCTGCCATGTCAGCCTTTTGTTTTCATCCATCCATCATCTTTACCCGCTTCTTCCTTTTCAGGTCGTGGGGGTCACTGGTGCATCCAGAAGTCACTGTGTGAGAGGCGGGGGACACCCTGGACAGGTCTCCAGTCCATCACAGGGACACATAGAGACAAACGAGACAAACAAACATTCACTCTCTCACTCTCACCTAGAGACAATTTAGAGTTACCAATCAGCCTAACATGCATGTTTTTGGTCTGTGGGAGGAAACTGGAGCACCCGTAAAAAACCCACGCATGCACGGAGAGAACATGCAAACTCCACCCAGAAAGACCCCAGCCTGGATTTGAATCAGTGTCCTTCTCGCTGAGAGGCAACAGCTCTACCAACTGCACCACCATGCCGCCCCTTTGGTTTTAATTTTTGTTAAAAAATAAGAAAGATTTCTTTTTAATTTGAGTTTTCTAGTCTGCATATGTACATATTTTGTTCTGTTCTTTGTTGTTAATGTCATTATCCATTGTTACACTCAGTGCCACAGGGTTAAGAAATAATATTCAGTGCAAAGCGTTGTACTTTTTGCCAGACAACACAAGACTTCTGCTTTATCCAAGAGTCCCACTTGGTGCAAAAATGTTGGAGATCCCAGTGGGGTAATGAGCTGTGGCAGGCTCATGGCTCGCAACGTTTTGCTGATGTTACCTCTAAAGCATAACTTTTCAGGGACCATGCTGCTAAGTGTGATTCCTCAGGTCACTTCATCTTTCAAGTGGTAGCCACTGAAAACTTCATAATGGTAATTGTTAATATATATGGCTATTACACATACAATGATAATAATATAGTATTGGATACTTGCCTCTAATAACTTTCCTGTTATCATAGGGGAGATTTTAACATGATACTTAAGATATTTGTGTGAACTGTTCTCTGCACCTGTGACCTGAAACCATGATGCATCTGCTCTGGCTCTGTCACACTGCTGCCACCTTCAGGAAAGAAGCGATCCGGTTCATCCAAACCAAGATTGACTCGGATTTCTGTTTCGGTTGGGAGTGCACCTGTATCATAAATATAGTACTGGTAATACTCTTGTGAAAATACCACATACACAAATCGAAGTTTATTCACTCCATTACTTCTTTTCTGGTATTCCAAAAGGAGTCTGAACAGTCGCTGTAAGCGTCTATGGCTCTAAGAACAAAAAAGATATTAAAACATTTGGTTTGTGCACTTTATTAAATATTTTGAATTAATATAATATTTTGTATGTTGATAACTGTCTTTGTATTGTGTTAACTTAAATAAAGATTGATTGGGGTGGGGGGGTGGGCTATTTCTTAATTACTAGAGCGCATGCGCAAAGCCGAAATAAACATTGCGGTTGCTGTGGAAACGTGGTTGGATTTCAACTGGTAAACTCTACGCTATAATACAGTCCCGATTTACTTAAAACAATATTATATATATATATATATATATTAGTAATCACGTAAGTACGTTTAATCTTATTTATTTTAATAAGTTATTGCCTAAAACGTAAACTTTGAGTTTCACTTCTCTACTGCGCAGGCTCCAAAAATATATAAAAACAACATGGCAGCGCCTGTAAAGCGGAAATAGAAGGCGTCAATTTAAACAAGGGAGAAAGGCGGAGACATGCTGCCCAGTTCGTTTGTGTTGATGGACAGATGTGTGTCTGTGACGATCACTCCGGCGTGTTCACCGTCACGTACATAGACATATGTCTATGGTCACGTAGCTGATCGGAAAGGAGGAAACCAGGAAGTGACGTCACAGCCGATCACCACCTCCTCACAGCTGCAGTTACTGACCGCTTTTCTCATTTCAACAGACTCGCTAGAGAGAGTGGGCTTCTAGTTTGAATTAACAAAGAAGGAAAGCTTGTAGGATAAGTGGAGAGGCGGTCATGAAGCTCGTGGTCTTCCTGCTGCTCCTCCAGGTGTTCGGATCCGCTCACGGCAGGTGTTTTTGTCAGGTAAGTTTCTCACCCTCTCTATTAAAACAAGAGTAAAACTCACCATGAACACCGATGTGATAAAAGCTTGGTTTGAAAAGATTTAGGTGCGTCTGCGTTTTCGTTCAGTCCATCTTCAGGATACTTGAACTAACTGCACTTTCTACGGAAGCTGACGGAGGACATGCGTAAAATTTAGATTTTTGTGTATCTCGAGATAATGATAAATATCAATATTTATTTTGTTTTCTTATGGTCAGAAATCGTTTCAAAATCACAATAATAAATATAAACTAGGTGGTGTGGTGTCAAGGGAAAGGGATCCTAAATGATGAAACTTGGTGTAACTTATTCTTTCAAGAAAATAAGGCACGTTCCTTTGAGATCAGACTAACCTGATTATCTTAAGATAACTAATGATCTCAAAGAAACACTTAAAAATGATGATTAGTTATGGTTGGGCTTGGTTTTCATATGTCTCAGTACTTTTAGTATGAAAATTTAAAAAAGAGTAAAAAGTAGAATTCTTGGTCTTTTGCAAAAGTTCCTTTTTGAAGTCTTGTCTTTAAATTGAGAAAATAAATGGAGATGAATGTTTGACTGCAGCCACAGTTGAACGGTCACAGGACTGACTTGTTTTCCTTGTGAACAAACACTCGGAGTAGATTTCTGTCTCGCTCAGGTCACTGGTGACCTTGATGACTGCGCCTGCGATGTGGAGACCCTCGACACTTTCAACAATGAGCAGCTTTTCCCTAAACTTCAAACTCTCCTGGAGTCGGACTACTTCAGGTTTTACAAGGTATTCCATCCTACTGGATCCCACACACGGGTTCTGTTGTTGCTCAGTAGTTTGGACCTGTGTTGCAGGTGAACCTGAACAAGCCGTGTCCGTTCTGGACAGCCAACAGTCACTGTGGTCTGAAGGACTGTGCTGTGAAGCCCTGCTCTCCTGTGAGTTCAGACTTACTGAATGTTATTTACACGTCACTAAAGTTTATTTTAAGTTAAAGCTTTGAAAAAATGTCAAATACAACACAGTTTGATTGACAGAAATATTATAATAGCAGCAACGAGGTGATTCCTAAAGAGCTGAATGCTGCTGCTGTTTTTCCAAGTACTGTAATTTTCAGATTATAAGCCGCTACTTTATTCGCAGGCGTTGAACCTCGTGGTGTCTACATTGCTGTGGCCAATTTATGATTTTATTTAATTTTTTTGACGAGCTAACAAGCTTCATGCCGCCAAAGCGTTTAGCCTCATCGCACCCAGTTGCTCACATAGCTGCCGAATACTTGTTTCTCTTGAGGGGTGTGTCAATGAGACCACCTGCGTACATGAAGGTTAGAAATTACATAAATAAATCAGACCAATGAAATTACCGAACAGGTCACAGTGGACCAGCGAAACTTCGAAATACTGTAAATAAAACGCACTCGCTGTAAATTCTTCAGATCAGTAATTTTGTGCTTCGTGCACGGACCCTCATCATGGAAAACACGTGAAGAAACGCAGACGATGCAGCTTTCACGTTAAAAGCGATGGATGTGGCTGTCGAAGAAGGAAATGGAGCGAGAAAGAGACTCGAGGACGTGTGTGATGAAGTTTACAGTATTTGAGGCTGTTCAGTTCTGACACTGAAGGAGACGACTCAGGTGGTTTTAGTGCACAGGAGGAAGATGAAGATAGTGTTCAATGACTTCCTGGTAGGCTACTGTATGTATTTATTTTAACCAGCTGTGTTACAGGCACTGTTGGAAAAATCATTTACTGTACGTATTTGTGTATGTTACAGATACGTATTTAATTAAAAGTTTAAAAAAAGCTTTCTGTGTAAATATCTCGTGCTACATCGTGGACACCCGCGGCTTATAGACAAGCTACGTATGTACAAGTTTTTATTGTTTTAATTTGGTGGGCGGGGCTTATATTCGGGTGCACTTAATAGTCTGGAAATTACGTTATTCAGTTAAAGAAATGGGAGCAAATTATATTTTTTCTAACAGGATGTTGGTGACAAAAAGACAAAACGATCCAGTGTAAAATAAGTTGTCTGTCATGTGTCAGTACAAATTTACTTCTGGAGTTTAGAAGCTCTTTTATGCCCGAATGATTCAAAGGTGAGAGTTGAGTGGCTTAAAAACTAAACATTCCTCTGAAAAGCTGCCCCCCCCCCCACACACACACACACACACACACTACAATGTGCCTCTTGTTGTTTTCCACATACTGTACATAAAAAAATTCACATCCGTCTGATTAAAACTGTGTCTCCTCACAGAATGAGGTCCCCGAGGGGATCCGATCCTCCCCCCACAACAAGGTCAGTGTTCTGATCAAAAGGCTCTGAGGTTTAACCGACGGTGTGTCCTTTCTCTGAGCGCTGACTTCAGCTAGCCATGTTACTGCAGGAACACCAACAGGTGCCATCCAACAGTGTTCAGTCAGGTCAATTGAACATTTTTTTTTTTTTTTTTTTTGCTGAGATGTTTCGTCCTTCATCCAAAGGACTTCTTCAATCTGAGAAGCCACCAAACAAACTGATTCCCACAAACAGCATACTCCATAGTGGACAAAACAGTTTGCTGGTGCCAAGATGGCCTTCAGTGCCCACCCTCTCCCTCGTCAACTGCTCCGACACATTCATGCCAAAGTGGTTCAAAACACTTGTAAACTCACCTGGAAGTCCTTTGGATGACGGAGGAAACGTCTCTGAGCAAAAACAGAAACCGTCCAGATGACCTGACTGAACATTGCTGGATTTTATACCTGGATTATTGAGCATGAACTCTGGTGCAACAGATGCTGAGTTTCTGCACAGATTAAGAACACTCAGTCATCTTATTTAAACTTAACATTTGCTCGTTCATGGAACAGTTAAATTCTGCACGTACACACGTTCTCTTACACGTTTCTCCGTTTGAAACTTCCTGCAGTATTCGGCTGAGGCAAATGAGCAGTTGGATGAATGTGAACAGGCGGAGCACCTTGGAGCCGTAGATATCTCCTTAAGGTGAGTCTGAACTGATTATATGCACTTATAAATGCAAACGTATAGTTTTACAGGAACCTTGAATGTATAATAATACTGACTGGGTAGGGTGGGTCGTGCATTGCTGTTACTGGGCCTTAAGTAAAGAGAGTGATTTAGTTTCACTGATGCCTGAGCATTAAAAAAGCTTGTGTTCTCCTGCAGTCATTGTACTTTATTTCATTATTACAGTTTGATAAAAAACATTCAGCTTCAATGTTTCAGCTTTACTGCTGCTGCGACTTACTAAATTAGTCAAACTGCAAAGTGTAAAAGTCAGTTTTCCTTATTTATTAGTTCATAAAGTGATGCAGATAACTGGACTTTGTGTTTATTTGAATAATAACAGAAAAGACACATGAAATAAAATCTCTTTTTTTTCTAGATTATAGAGATTTGATCTCCTGAACTGCTCTTCTGTTCAACAAAGTTCAGTCAGGTCCTCTGGACGGTTCTTTTTGTTTAAATGTTTCCTCTTTCATCCAAAAGACTTCTTCAGTCCAAGGAGCTGCAACAAACTCAGTCTTACAAACAGCACCTTCACATAGTGGGTCAACCAGTTTGATGGTGCTCAGGTGGTTTCTGGAGTCTGCCCTCACCCTGCTGACTTATTTGAAGCAGTTTTAGCCAAAGTGGTTTAAAACATCTGTTCATGCTCAATAATCCAGGTAGAAATCCAACAAAGTTGGACAAACAAAATGGTTTTTGAGCATGAACTTTGATGCTCTTCTGTTGCTTCATTATTTGACAGTTATTTCAGGAGTCCATAACTGTCTGTAAATTCACCAGATGGACACACTGTACTACATTTTACATTGACCTATTTTAATTTGTTTTATTCAAATTAATTTACAGATGAGAAGGAACGCTTTAAAGCAGCAGAAACTTCTGGCGTAAACTTTACGTGCATTAGATACTAAATCTACTGACGGGGCAGCAACAGTGCAAACAGATGCAAGTTGTGATTTAAGGAATCGCACAAGATCTAAAAACTAACAGAATATAAAAATACCAACAATTAAATTCTAAACCAGTGCAGACAGAAACATTAGTGTTTGTTTGATTAATTTTATTGTCCTATGTGCAGAAAGGGGGAGGAGTTGAAAAGCTTGATAGCCACAGGGAGGAAGGACTTCCTGTGTTGTTCTGTGCAGCACCTCAGTGTCTCAGTCTACAACTGAAGGTGCTGCGGTAAGAGTCCAGGGTGTCATGCAGGGGGTGTGACGTGTTGTTCAGGATCTGGAGCAGTTTCCTCAGCATCCTCTGCTCAGACACCTCTCAGAGACTGCAGGTCCACTCCCAGAACTGAGCCAGCTCTCCTGATGTGTTTATTGAGTCTGTTGGCATCAGCTTTCTTCACCCTGCTGCCCCAGCACATCACAGAGTAGAAGATGATGCTGGAGACCACCGAGTGGTAAAACATCTGCAGCATGGTCCTGCAGATGTTAAAGGACCTGAGTCTCCTCAGAAGAAAAAGGCGACTCTGTCCTTTCTTGTAGAGGGTGTTGGTGTTAGCTGTCCAGTCCAGTTTATCAGTGGACCCCCAGGAACTTGTAGCAAGAAAGGTCATTATCAAAAATCTGGTTGCAACGTCAAAATCCAAGATGGCCACCTCCATTTATATGTAAATCAGTCACTACTATCATTTGAGGAAACTGCTTTCTAGTTTTTATGTTGCTTAAATGTATAGTTTCTCAAATGATTGGAGTGACTCAAGATTAATGGTGGTCAAGGCCACCTTTGACCACCCCCTGGCTCCACCACTGTACCTGTGGGGGATAAAATTGCCCCCCTCCACTTGGCAGGATCCCTCACTCTGCTCTGGCCCAGACGAGCAAAAAATAAAATAAAAAGAAGCCTACCTCTCTTCTTCTGCACCTTGCGTGGATCAGTACTTGTTTTTAAATCCACGTCACCTTCAGGTACAGACTCTGTTTGATGCAGAGATCAGAGCTACTGAAGGTTTGTCTCTCGTGTTGCCTACATGTTGACTGATGGTGAATCCAGATGTTTCTGTGTGCTTTTCAGTGACGAGACTCGAGAGGCTCTGCTGGACTGGAGCAAACACGACGACGAAGCCGAGCGGTTCTGTGTTGTTGACGGTACCGTTCAGTTGAATTAAAACGGATAAACAAGTACTTTACAGAAATGTCTGTATATTTACACAAACCTAAAAGTTTAATGAAAAAAGCATTATGGTCAGAAAAATATGCCATTTTTTAATTTTTAGCAACATAATTTAAATGATTTTAAAAAGACACCATAAAATCTGCTGTTTATTTATTAGAAGAAAACCATCGTGAAGTTCATGTTTTAGAAGGAGAAGTAGATGTATATGAATGAAGTGACATATATGAAGGATATAATCAAATGAAGCTGTTTGACTGCTAAGATCCATCGCAGAATTAATTTTTAAAGTATTTGGACAAGTATAGATAAGATTATGAAATTCATTATCAGAACCTTTTTTCTTAAGTTTTAATGCTTTCAGTTCTTTGTTCTTCAGATCTGTCTGATTCAGTCTCTCAAACGGATGAAATCACGCTGCTGTTTTCCAGATGAGGAGTCTCCGGACTCGCAGTACGTGGACCTGCTGCTGAACCCAGAGCGCTACACGGGCTACAGAGGACCCGAGGCCTGGCAGATCTGGAACAGCATCTATGAGGAGAACTGCTTTAAGTAAACCCCAACACATGACACGCATGACACACATGACACACATGACACACATGACACGTTTACATCTTAACCCGGGGTCTTTCTGGGTGGAGTTTGCATGTTCTCTCCGTGCATGTGTGAGATTTCTCGGGGTACTCCGGTTTCCTCCCACAGACCAAAAACATGCATGTTAGACTGATTGGTAACTCTAAATTGTCTCTAGGTGTGAGTGAGAGAGTGAATGAATGGTTGTTTGTCTCCATGTGTCCCTGTGATGGACTGGAGACCTGTCCAGGGTGTCCCCCGCCTTTCGCACAGTGACTGCTAGAGATGGGCACCAGTGACCCCTGGGACCTGAAAAGGAAGAAGTTGGTAAAGATAATGGATGGATGGACAAGCCATAAAACATCTGACACGGTTGTGAGACGCTCTTTTTTGTACAGACGTTTTATTTTCTAAACAGAAACTATATTGAGAACTCCCTCCCCCTGCTAGTAGTAGTAGTAGTAGTAGTAGTAGTAGTAGTAGTAGTAGTAGTAGTAGTAGTAGTAGTAGTAGTAGTAGTAGTAGTAGTAGTGGTAGTAGTAGCAGTTCTACTAGTATTTCTGTTGTAAACCCAGGAGAAGCACTTTTTTTATTTATTTATTTTTTTTATTTGTTACAAAGCGTTTGCCATCTTTTCGACAGACAGACAGATCTTTACAAGGTTTTTTTTTTTTAAGGTTTATTACCGATAAGTTTTGCTGGAACAGTTTTAAGCATGGGATGGTTTGGTGGTTCTGCATCTTGGTTCTTTATAGACGCCCATGAAAAGGTGGACATGTTAAGGTCTAGCAGCCTCCGTCCATACGTGTGTCTGTACTTAAACTTTCTCTTGTCCTCCCCATACCTTCTGATCCGCTCGTGATAATTTAATGAAACTTCATAAACATGCCACAACTACACGGTCACGTAATCTTTTCATCACCATCTAAGGTCAAGGTCACACATCAAGGTCAAAGGTTATGCAAGGTTTTTGCTCGTCGGGCCATTGCTACAGATTGCTGTATAAGTTTGTCGACGGGTGTATAATGCGCCGTACGTGGTACTCTTGCTGTAAACTAAAGAACAGCAGGCGAGTAGCGGGAGCAGTAATTTAAAACTTGACATGAATCAAAGTATTTTTATAAACTTCAGATTTAAGGAGGGTGCACGTTCCGCTTCCATCACTGTTCTGTTGGTCAGTTTAAAGCTAAACATCAGCACCTTTGTTTCAACATAACTTGCTTTGATGGTGTTTCAATCAAATGTCAGCTCAACAAAAATAATGTCATTATTTATTAGGAGCATCGTTGCGTAAACAAACTCAATCACTTGTTTTCTAGATATTTTACTCCAAGCTAAACCATCAACCTGTAGGTGGAGCTAAATGGAAGCTTGGGAATTTACCATCTTTGGTTTTTTCAATTTTTTTTAATTCATCCATCCTCTTTACCCACTTCTTCCTTTTCAGGGCACGGGGGTCACTGGTGTCCATATCCAGCAGTCAATGTGCAGGAGGTGGGGGACACCCTGGACAGGTCTCCAGTCCATCACAGGGACACAGAGACAACCATTCACTCTCTCACTCACCTAGAGACAATTTAGAGTTACCAATCAGCCTAACATGCATGTTTTTGGTCTGTGGGAGGAAACTGGAGCACCCGGAGAAAACCCACGCATGCATGGAGAGAACATGCAAACTCCACCCAGAAAGGTCCTGGGCTAGGTTTTGAACCGGCGACCTTCTCGCTGAGAGGCAGCAGCTCTACCAAATGAGCCACCCTGGATTTATTGTTAATTGTTTTGTTTGTTTGTTTGTTTGTTTGTTTTGTCTACTGTAAAACACTTTGTTACGCAGCGGTGTATGAAAGTTGATTTATAAATAGTTTCATTTGATTGACCTTTCAAGCAGTGATGTGGGAGAGGCAGGTTTTACATGATTTGTGTACTCTGATGTCAGAACTGTTGAGTTCCACATGAAGCAGTCTAAGACAAACTGATGATTTAAACGGAAGCATCAACTTTTTATTTACATTATGTATGATTTAAACAACGTTCATTGAAAACTGATCGCACTGGGTCGTTGGCTAACGTTATCCATCATTTGTGCATCATTGCTAAGCTAGTGAGTTTTAAGCTCAAAGTCTAAACTGGAAAAGTTTAATAAATGTGAGTTTGTAAAGAAATAAAAGTCAGGGCAGACTGTTCCGTAGTGACAGGTCAGTCCTTGTCATCCTGACGTATTGAGCTGGAGGCTGTCAAAGCTGTCTTTGTCATTTATTACCAAGTCAAGTTGTTTATTTGGTCTCCTTAAAACTGCCAATAACTTCCAATTAGAAAAAAAAAAAGCTGATCAAAGTGATTATAACAATATTTCACGCTCCCCATACAGACCACTCACCGTCAAACGGCCACTTACTCCCAACTCATTTCAGAGCAGCTCAGGAGGTGAAGGTAATTGATCTTTATTGTTATTTCAGTCATTTAAAGCCTCGACTGATGTCTCTCTGATCAATCGGATTTGTTTTTCTTCAGCCAGGACCTTCTACAGCTGGCTAGAAGGTAAGCTGTCTCGTCAGCTGCAGCCGTCCTTGAGCTGTGTCCAGCTTTGGAGCTGATTTGTTTCCTCTCTCAGGTCAGTGTGTGGAAAAGAGAGCTTTCTACCGGCTCATTTCTGGCCTCCATGCTAGCATCAACGTCCACCTGAGTGCCAGGTATCTCCTGGACGGTGAGGTTCACAAACTGCTGGGGCACTTGTTCCAGGTTGGTTGACATCCCTCTTCATCTTGGCCGCTTCTCTCCTTCAGATAGCTGGTTCCAGAGGCAGTGGGGTCACAACGTGTCCGAGTTCAGGCAGCGCTTCGACTCGGAGCTGACGGCCGGCGAGGGACCCAAGAGGCTCCGCAACCTCTACTTCCTGTACCTGATAGAGCTGCGAGCGCTGGCCAAGTCTCTGCCGTTCTTTCAGCAAAAATCCTTCCAGTTGTACACGGGCCGGGCCGAGGAGGACCGGAACCACAAGGAGATGCTGCTGGACATTCTGCAGCTGGCCAGGTCAGTCTGAGAATGGACAACTCAACCCACAGCAGCTAGGACGGACATCCGACTGATGATGTCATAAACCCGTCATCTAACAATGACGGGTGAGACTGACTTTGAACAAAACCATAACAAATGTTTAAAACAGATTAATAAAGTAAGCCAGGGTTTATTATTCTCCATCGTTTAATATTGTCTGTTCTGATGATCCAGTGACTAAAGCTGTAGCTGTTTGTGTCTCTGCTCATTCTGTTTACTCTTTCAGATCCTTTCCGCTGCACTTTGATGAGACGTCTTTGTTTGCAGGAGATGAAAAGGAAGCCGCAAAACTGAAGGTAAGAAACTACTGAAATGTTGTGAACAGCTGAACCTAAATAAATCTGAAAACATAAAAAAATTGAATAACATTTTCAACTGCTTCTAGTTCTTCTTAAAACCCAGAGAAAGCTTTAGATGTACAGTGTTTTAAATAAAAAGTTATTTTATTCTGTGCTATTCTCTGAATTTATGTTGGGTGTTGTTAAAACGGGAAGTAAAAAGTTCAGCTCTAACGTCCAAAATAATGGGATTTTTGCAGCACGTTCATTTATTTCAGGAGGAAAATCTGCTCTTTTTACTGTTCTTTCTTTCATCTGACAGTTTGTTGCTTTAGCCTTTAAAGCAGAAAAGAAATTTAAGCTTCTGAAATGCGGTTCTTGATTCTTGTCATTGGAGTGGAGCTGGAGTGTTTTGTTTAAATAAATCCAACTTTATATTTTTGATTAATTTTTCTAAGATGACATTCTAACATTTCACGGTTCAGTCTTTTTAAATGTCTGAATTTGCGTTTCATTTAATTATTATTTTGAGACAAAGTACAGGCTGAGAGCCTGCATCAGCCCATGGACCCTTTCCATCGGGCCCTCCATACTCCCCAACAAGAACGGAACAACCTGAAACAAAACAATAAAACACATTTTAATAATAAATCTTTAGGTGATGCAAAATATGTATTTTAATTTAACATCTTAGGTCTAAATCTGGAGCTTTAATTTTTTGCTGGAAGAATAAGACTAAAGATGAATGTTTCAAAAAGGAAGTGCGTGTGTTGTTTCACAGACTGGATGTTTGATCTGACAACAAATAGTTTATTTAAAGTGATATTTTTCAGTCATGCGTGGTAACAATGCAAGAAATAATAAAACACTAAAAGTGTTTTCCTTCATCCATGTCTAGAAGAATACTCTTCTCAGTTGAACGTGTGACGCCTTGTATTTTTTTAAATGAAGGGGAACCACATGTTTCCCACCTTTTTATTTAGAGTTTAAGAGTACTGAGGTACCTCGAGGATGGAAGTTTTGTTTAGTTGCTGCTATACTTGTGTGGGTGGAAATCTGTGGTGGGAGGTTAGATTGTGCCCCCAATAAATTATTTGAGGAAACTACAATTTGAAGCAATGTAAAGAAAAAATATATATCCACCATTTATATCAGAAAAATGATGAATTTGCCTCATAATGTTCCCCTGTCGTGGAAAAAAAGATTCCCAAAACAACCAGGTGTAGACTTGATCAGATTTATTACAAAGCTTTGGAGAACAGCCAGCAGTCACAGAAGATCAATGTGTTTACAAACTGCTCCCAAGACCGTCTCAACCACGTGACTGTAATCACATCAATCAAACCCCGAGGTTAATAAAAATTATCTCTTGCTGTCCTTTTACTGACCGATCACATGAAGGCTGATTATTATAGAGTAAGGATCATGGAACATTTTTAATATATTTAACAATAACAGTAAAAGAGCATGAATGCATTAATGAAGTAAAATTATGGAGCACGGTGAGCGCAAAAAATACACATGATTATTGCATTAGGCTGATGATCCTCCTTTATCATGTGAACAACTACCGGTAGTTCTGGCTGTCCCCATGAAACTGGTTGATCCACTCTGAGAAGGTGCTGTGTATAAGACTGAGTCTGTTGCAGCTCCTCAAACTGAAGAAGTCTTTTGGATAAAAGATGAAACGTTTCAACAAAGACTACCTGGATTATTGAGCATGCATCAGGATTGTTTCATTCTTGTTTTTGTTATTCTGTCATTATCTTTATGACTGGTTCAGCCTCAACAAGTTAATTGCCATTAAAAAAAGAAACTGTCCAGATGACCTGACTGAAAATTGTTGGATTGTATACCTGGATTATTGAGCATGGACTTTGTTGGTTTTGAACCAGTTTGACAAGACTGTTGACAAGGAAGAGGGCAGGCAACAGAGGAGGGGGCGTGCCAAAGAGACCATCTTAGCACAAACATAACTGGTTTGTTCCACTTTGGAGTAAGCTGTTGGAGGAAGAATCAGTTTTGTAGTGTGTTTCCTTGTCTGATGAAGCCTTCTGGATGGAAGGTGAAACGTTTCAGCAAAAAAAGAAAAACTGTCCAGATGACCTGACTGAAACTTGTTGTGCCATTAGCACTGACATGTTTTTGTTTTCTTCTGTAAACCTAAGGAGGATGTCAGACTGGCCTTCCTCAACATCTCCAGAATCATGGACTGTGTTGGCTGCTTTAAATGTCGCGTCTGGGGTAAACTACAGGTACTCTCTCACAGGCTGATCTGGGATTATAAAGTCCACGTATGAGCTTTGATTAAGTCTCCTTCACGACCCTGACTGGTTTTGGAAATCAGATCAGTCATCTGATTAAATGTTTATATTGCTGTCACATGTTAGACGTGTGAAAGTTTATTTTACTCTTAAATAAGTTTAGTTCGTGTGAACTTCTTAATGAGCAGCAACCGGAGGATTATATTTATAGTATATACATATTGTAGTGATAAAAGTGTAATGTTTAAATTGATAATAGAACATTTATAGTGGTTGATTGTTTGTTTCTCTCCGGTCATCAGACTCAGGGATTAGGAACAGCTCTGAAGATTCTGTTTTCAGAGCGACAGATTGAAGCTCTACCCAACAAATCCAGTGAGCAGCGATCCAGTTTCCAGCTCAGCCGGCAGGAGATCGTCTCCCTGCTCAATGCTTTCGGGAGGTGAGAATTTCTGCTTTGTGTTTGTGCTCAGTCTAAAACGTCATCAAAACCCAGACCATGACTCTGCTCCAAGTTTCTACTGCTGACTCTATCTATTGTGGAGCGTTCTTAAAAGTTCAAATTATTTTATAGGACATGACTTGAGATAATGGTTTGTTTTATAAAATGTGCCCTTAGGATTTCCACGAGCATCAGAGAGCTGAAAAACTTCAAATCACTGCTAGCGGAGGAGGGGTGACAGAAGCATAAATCATTTTGATACATTTTATCTTGAATTTTTGATTCTGAGCCACAGACTGCAATTTGAACAACTGCCTTAATCCTGCTGAAATATAATTTGTACAATTAATAGTTTGGAATGAAGGCAAACCTGCTGGAGGAATATTTGTTTTTAGGAAAAATTATAAAATCTGACATTTGTAAAAAGGTCCTTCACTTCACTTGCCTTGATGTGTTGTAATAAAGAAAACTGTTGTAGCCTTAGGAGAGACTGTAAACTATTTTGGTGTGTTATTGACATTTTATGCAAAAATAAAGTTTTTATATGAAAACATGTTTTGAACTGTCAAATCGGCTGTTGTGATGTCAGTCTGATAAGGATTTTGTCCATTTGTCAAAAATTAAACTGACTGAGGATGTCAGAACCTCAGGACAGTTTTCAACAAGAGAAGTAAAAAAAACTAAGACTGAAATCATGTAACAACAACAATAATAATAATAATATATACTGTGTGTGTGTGTGTGTGTGTGTGTGTGTGTGTGTGTGT